TTTATGACAATGAAAAGGGTTTCATTGAAGGGTCGCCAAGCCAAGAAGGAGAAGGAGTCGTACATATAGAGTTTGGAATACTTAGGAAATAACAAAGAGAGCTAAGGACTTAAAGACTCAACGACTAAAACATTAAAACGAAGTTTGAATTTGACAAACAGGCTCCTCCCTTCCTTGATCGAATCCGAATCCGGTGAATGAGATGGGCTGGGTTTTCATCAAGAGGCCTCTTTGTAATAGTATTGTGAACAAGCCTCATTAAAAACCTTGTTTGGAAAACCCAAATGGAACAAAACCAAATCAAGGGAAAAAGAGCACAAGTCACAACAGCTCTCTTGATGAACTCTTAAGTGGCTTGTATCACAACCAGTGTAGTTGGATTAGCATACTTAAGATTGCCCTGGATCGAGTATAGTAACTTGTGAAAAGCTTGCTTGAATCTCAAAGCCTTGGCTCTTGTCATTGGTCTGAGAGAAAGATGTAGGTCTGCGTCTTCTTCACTTACTTCCTCTAGTTTCAGCTGCTCTTTATCTTCATCTTTTACTTCATCAGGTTCTAGTTCGAGCTTGCCCTCTTCTCCATTAGTTTCCTCAGTCCCAAAACCGGCCATGATCATATCAGCTTCCTTGCAAGTATTACAGACTTCTGGGTCAAGAGATTCTTTAAAACTTGGAAAAATCATGTTTTTTCCTTATTCCTAAAATCAGTGTCGAGTAACACTTCCAATGGTGTTGAGCGACACCAAAGCACATAATTCATCTTTCACGAATTTGATCTCTGTTTAGCTCCAAAATGTTCCAAAATCTCCAGTTAAGCTCCAAACATACCTAAGACCTGAAAAGACTTCAAAAGACTCGAAAAAGATTAAAAAATTTTTATAAACAAGACTTATATCATAATCAAAAACCATAAAAACCATGATATATCACAGTTCTGATTCCAGTTTGCCACTTTGGTTTATCTTTGTAGGTGGTGAGCCTATAAATGAACCAGCGGTTCAGTTTGGGTCTTTTTTTTATGAACACACAAGAAGAGATTGATCAGAGCATTGATGATTTTGAGAATTTTACAAATGGATTTGGAAAGGCTGGACAATGGAGGTCTCAAGCTGCTTCTGCCTTAGGATTGTTCTGAAATGTTTTTGCTTCTACATATAATTGTTTTAATTTTTTTTTAATTTTTTGATATCATTATTAATTAATTGTATTTCGATTCTTCCACATCAATCAGAAAAAAATGGAGAGTGATTATCTATTTTCTCTCCATTTTATGAATTCTTTTACAAAGTCATTTTAATTTTCTTTTCCATACATTTAGTTTTTTTTTTCTTTGAAACGTCACTCTATTTTTTTTTTTCTGATTGATATATTCCATTTCATTTGAAATTTTATTATATTATAAGAATGTAAAAACACTTATTTTAAACAGAAATATATTATTTAGAATTTACAAAGTATCCAATCAAGTCTAAGGCAATTTCGTATTGTACACGTCATTCTCCAATGCTTGCTTCAACCAATTTATCAGAATAACCACTAAATCCAAGACTAACCAAGGTCTCCTTCAATTTCTTGTCTCATCACTACCTTCCCTAGCTCGCTATCTTTATTATAACATCTCCATCTTGGACTTCCTAAAAAGGCGAGAAAATCGGATAGGTTAGGTTGTTAGTCTAACCTCATTCGATAACACACCTGGCCATTGGTGAGCCTCAAGTCTGCCAGGATCGAAAACGCCCAGATAACAACAACAACATTAGACTTAGCTGATCCACCAAATCCTGGAGAAAACACGGAAAGAAGATGGGAGTGTAATAGAGATTACTCAGCGAGGATGAACTTTAAGGAGGCCCCAAAACAGCATCATAACAGACATGAATATTTATAAGATAGTCTAATCCTAACAAACTCAAACAAATAAACAATATGGTAACACCTAAGCAAGTGATCAATCAACACGAAAGGGTAATTCTACAAACAGCTACCAAACAATGGGCCCTGGTTGGAACCAGTCGGTAAGTACAGGCACACACCACTCAGCCTCCCCGCCAAGGCAAAATGAATAGCCTTGAATCAATGAGAAGTGCACCACTCCGCCATTACAAAAAGGCCACTCCAACCCATCACCACAGAAAGGATCCCTATGTCACCACATACATCACACAGGTGGTTACACAAACAGGCCACATGTCACACAGACTACATCGAAGGTTCGCCACACCTCCAGCACTGGCTGATGGCCCGTGAACACATCCGCCACTCAACCATCAAACAACACCAACAAACCACACAAGGATAAATGGGGGTTCTAACAGTTATATTATCTCACACAATAATAACAACCACCAAATAATAATCCTTTTTAATATTAAACCTTTCTTTTCTTAAAATGCATATTCCTTGGTGAGTGTAACATAATCCTAGAAAGAACAACAGATCATCAACCAATGTGTTTTTTTTAGGGTTTCATAGTTTCAGATCCAATTCATTTCACTTGTGTATCATTCCACCAGCAACCATCAGTCATCAACAATCAATCAATAGAGATCCAGATCCTAACAGTTCTATAAACCCTAACAAACAGATCTAAGCTTTAGTTTAATAAAAGAATAACTACAAATACACATGCATGAAAGAGAGGGTGAAGCAACAAGTCATCACAAATGCCTTTCTGGAAGAAGATACACTTTTTCCTCCACTTTGGGTAGATTTGACACTGACATGAAAATAGCTATAACTCCTGGCCCAGATCTCCGATCTAAACAAACTTGATCTTGTTGGAAAACTGACACTCGGGACTTCGATTTGATAGGTAGGTCGTCGCGTGACTCCTCACGGTTCGCCGGAAAAAATTCATGCAAATCAACGGCGGATAGGAAGAATAAAGTAGAGAGAGAGAGAGAGAGAGAGAGAGAGAGAGAGAGAGAGAGAGAGAGAGAGAGAGAGAGAGGTTAGAATTTTTTCTTTGTAAAAAAATTAGAATGCATTTATAGCTAAGGTTTCACTTATTTAGGCTTATGGGCTTTTGAAATGAAAATAAATAAAGAAGCCCCAAAATAAATAACCAAACATTAAACTAGACCGGAATTAAGAATCGGAAGCAAACCGACGTTTGAGAAATCCAAGGTCGGATTGTAACATTTATCCACGAAAGTATAAAACTCTCCTTCGCGCGACAGCCATCAAATTTTCTTTTTCTCTGCACTTTTTCACTCGCATTCTTTATTACAAACTCTTTTGCTACTTACAGAATCCAACCAACAAAATCGTAAAATATTAGGTGAAATTTTAAAGCACAAACATTTTCCTTCGATTTGATTGCTATTGAATCTGATATGACTTTCTCGGTCATGTTTGGGAAATCCGAGTTGGCGCCAAGTGGGATACCTTCCACATGAGGGAGAGTAACAGGGTCAAAGACAATGCTATTTGGGAACAAATTGAGAGATTCAAATTATTTCTGAGATTTTTTTGGAAGCACGAAAGGGGATCTTGAAACATTTCTCTGCTAGTATCAATGGCGGAACTAGAATTTTTCTTCATTGAAAACCTAAATAAATAAATAGGAGCATATATAATTTTATGAATGCAGACATTAATATTGAGCTTTAATAAGTTACACCAATTTGATAAAACTTATTAGGGGCAAATGACTCCGACTTATCACATGTAGTTCCGAGTATATATTGGCTAAATGAAAATACTGAATCATATGATCAAAACCAAACAATGGGTACATAAAAGCATGAAACATTGACCCCATTTCCCTCCCAACAAGAATAACAACAAGAAAACTTTTGAGTCTTCAAGAGAGAAGATAAACGAAAGAGACTTTCGGTTATATTGTTTTATTTTTCTTTCTTTCTCTAAGTTGAAAGAAGCGACGATATTCTGTGAGTGAGTCGGTTCTTCTCTCTTCACGTACGACACTCCTATTTGTTGTTTGGAGAGACTGACTATGTGAAAGTAATCAAAGTATATTTTAGGTTTCATATGATTATCAGTGTGAGGGTGGTGGGAATTAATTAGTGGATTAATCTCATATTCCATATGGTAATGTGATTGTCCAGCTAGATTGCATGTGGTTGTGGTTGTCTTTTCTCTTCATAGAAATTTTATTTTGATTAATTCATTTATGTATTTTTATGACAGGACATGCAAGATTCTCCTCTAACAACCTATATAAATTTTTTTTTGTTATTTGGCATTTTCTTTTTGTCTCGTTTCAATACTCATCAAGACTATAGTTTTATAAGACTGTTCTTAAGTTGCGTTGGGGAATTGGCGCAGCTAATAAGGTTACGAATAAAAAAACTAATTTTTTTTTTACCATTACGTATTCATTAAGAAATGCAAAATAGTTGATGAAAGTATATGCATATTTTTATACCCTTTTTGCCCTAATTACATATTGATTTCAAATTTAAGTGACTTCACTCTATAGTCGAATTTTGATCATCCACAATAGTGGTCCGCAAAAGTGTACGTCTTGCTTCTCACGTTATCTCCAATAACTTTGTAGATATTGAAAGGATTTTACCGAAATAAACAAACTTACATGAAAAGAAACAAGCTTAATTCTGATATCTTCTGTAAAGTCTTGGCTTTTAATTTTGTTCAATTGATAGAGAGTGCAGCCCCTCTTTCACTAATCTTCTCTGTAGACTTCAGATGTTAACATTCTGATAATATATATATATATATATATATATATATATAGGTTATGTGAATTGTTAATCTCTACTATATTCCTTTTGAATTTTAATTGTTTAAAATTGAAGAAAAAGCTAGAGATGTGTTTAGCCACATAAGCTTGGGAGATCCTTGTGTACTACAAAGTAAGACTACGTAATTTTTTCTTTATGATTGATAGCTTTTAGTTTCAAAACAATTTGAAATTTTATTTCAAAGAAATATTAAAAATGTAAAATACCTTTTAAAAAACATTTCTTTCAACACGGAAGAAAGAAACATTATTTTACAATTTGCAAAGTATTCAATTCAAGACGACTTTGTGTTGTTGAGTTCATTCTCCAATGCTTCAACAAACTTATCAGCATAACCATTCAACAATCCAGGATCAACCAAAGTCTCTTTCAACATCTTATGATTCCTCCTCACTAAATTCCCAATCTCATTATCTTTATCAATCACAGATTTAACCGCATCTCTCAAGCTCTCTTTGGAGAACCATCCAGAATCTTCTCTTTGCACCTTCACAGATACTTGGAGTTCCTCAGTCATCAATCTCGTGGTGAGAGCTTGATCAGCCAATAGTGGAATAAACACAATCTGACAATCATTAACCAAAGACTCCCACATTGAACCAAACCCACATTGGTTCACAAAGCAACCTACTGATGGATGGGACAAAATCAAAGGTTGTTCTACCCATCCTCCCCAAACTATTCCACGCCCTTTAACCCGCTCTTCGAAACCGTCTGGTAATGCTTCTTGTGTCGTTGATGCGCCTATCGGCGGCATAGCTCTTATTAAAAACGGTAAACCCGTTAGCTCCATTCCTAAACACAGTTCTTGAAACTGATGTTTTTCGATAAAGCAATGGGTTCCCAACGAACAATACACTACCGAGCCTGGTTCAAACCCGTTCAGCCAATGATTCCAACGATCTTCTAGTGTTTTGACACTCTTTTCTTGCGGCTTAGGGAACATTGGACCGGTTAATAGAACTTTTTTCTGACATTGTGCTTCAATGAAACTACATAGCTTACCTTCAATTTCTGCGCATGTCCTTATGGAAATGATGTCGCAGTTCTTAAGGCCGGTGGTGACCCGATCAAAAAGCCATTGGCGGGTATTCACGAAGAGAGAATAGAGGTTAGCGTCATGTCCACGTAATACAACTTTCGATGAAGGATAACCCGGTGGAGGAAACCCTAATTCAGCACCAGGTGCAAGAAACATAGCTACAAAAGCTGCGGAAACGATCTGGTAACTCACACTCTTGGCTCCAAACTGTTTTGCTATTTCTGGAATCCAATCGGCAAAATCGAAGAAGATTAGGTCTGGTTTGGAAGTACGAACCTTTTCTTCGATCTCATCGCGTAAGAGATCCATGGCATAGTATAGGACATTCTTAGGCGAGTTTGAGAGATCCGAGGTTGTCTCTGCGCCAACAGGGAGACCATCGACATGAGGAAGAGTAACAGGGTCGTAGACAATGCTGTTTGGGAACAGATTGAGAGGTTCGAGTTGTTTCTGAGCTTTCTTGGGAAGCAAGACAGTAACCCTATGACCTTTCTCAGCTAGTTTATTAGCTAGATGAAGGTATGGAATCATATGACCAAAACCAAACGATGGGCACATAAAAGCATGAAACTTTGACCCCATTTCCTCAACAGATCAGCAAAAGGTTGCTTCTGTTTGTTTAGATGTTATTTGATTAAGATGCTTTTCCCTCTGCCCAGTTCATGTAAATATATCTATAGCTACTTAAAGAACGTGTTTTTGAGTGCCATTATAAATTAAGTTTAGGTGTTGGTGGCTGACATGTGCCATGTGTGAAAATGTCATTGAGATCCAGATTCGCTTGTGGGTTTTGTCTTCTGGTGTTAGTGTTAAATTCCTAAGCTACCCCCTTGATAAAACTTGTTGCAACAACAAATTCTACTGAATGAATCAAGAATACCATGAACAAGTTCGAGATTGCTAAGTCCTTTGAGAATTAATAGAAACCAGAGACCGACAAATTTACTGGTTGAAAGGTTTTAGCAAAGTTGCATGAGAAAACAACATTAAATTTTGATATCTCCTGTAAAAGTCTTGGCCACTTTCTTGGTCAATTGAATGGGGAGTAAAACCTACACTATATATCTCTAATCTTCTCTGTGGATTACGGCTGTTAAAAACTCGGGAAAATTCCCCTCGAAAGACCATTTTGATATAGGCTATGTGAGCTGTTTATTCTCTATCGATATCTTGAATTCTCATTGTTTGAAAGGTGAAGCTAACTAGAGATTTGCTTCGACTTCATACATAGGCTCGGGAGAGGCATCGTGTATTTAGGTTCCGCCAGAATCCCACCAGTCCATTCTCATTATCTGCAAGCACAAGAGTTGAGCAGAGAAGTAAGACAGACCAGTGAAATTCCAAAATAACTTAGTTTAGCAAGTTAAAATATTGTTTTTCAGAGCTGTGTATTTTATCAGGCAGCAAATCTGTTAGACTGTAATACATAGTCTGGAGCTGGACCAGGACTCATGGATGCTGTGACTAAAAGGGCTTTGGAAGCTGAGAATCCGGTCAGTGGCATCAAATTTTTCATTGTTTGAAATGTTAAATCTCTCCTCATATGTACGTAGTTTGGAGAATGTGTATGTCAAAGTATATTTTAGGTTTCATATGATTATCAGTGGAGGGTGGTGGTAGTGTGATTGTCCATTGTGGTTGTCTTTTGTCTTCATAGACAAATTTTTAATTAATTTATTTATTTATCTTATATAATATGACAAGATTCTCTTAACAACCTATATAAATTTCTTTTTGTTATTTGACATTTTTTTCTACGTCTCGCTTCAATAGTCATCAAGACTATAGTTTTATAAGACTGTTATTATATTGCGTTTGGGGGCAATGACGCAGAATATAAATCAAAAGACTAAATTTTCTAACATAACGTTCAATCTTCTGATTTATATTCTTTGTCATTGCCCCAAACGCAATATAACGAAAATGTGCCGTCTGTGTTTCTAAACAACATAATTTGAAAGGTTGAGAGAAACATATGAAGATGATAAAAGGAAAAAAAGGTTGAAACTCTGAACAAGCAAGCAAAACCCAAATGGGTATTTTTCAGTCTGCTTTCTTGGAGCTGTCTTTGTTATCATCTTCTTCTTCTAAGAGAATGTCCCTAAGAGAGCCAAACATCCAATCCATCCATATGGTATAGTAACCATAGTTATGCTTGTATGTGGTGTGGTGTATGGTAAATATTTGATCTGTATAATTTTCTTCATTTGTTATGTATTTCAATTTTTGATTGTTATCTCTCTTTTTTTTATCCTATTTTTCTCTTTTGGTGTTTTTTCTTGTTTTTGGAGTTCTTACCTTAACTGAAAAAGACAAACTTTGCCTCTTACATGCTACGGTTATATCTTGAGCAAACTCATCTACCACCACATAGATGAAATTAGTTTACTATTTTCTTAAAAAAAATTATGAGATTGCTAATTTATTTAGAAAATAATTTACTAAAAGTGATCACAGTACAAAATTAAGGGAATGTAATAAAAAAAAATTTCAGATTTTTAATCTAAAAGATCCAAGTTTGAAATATTATCATCAGGCAATTATAGAAGGCTCTATATTGAAAGAGATTGATCCTCCGTATACCCACAACATTTTAGCATTAAAGAATAACAGCAAAGTCAGAAACTTTGCAGCAAATTGTGCGCAGTCACGTTTCTAGTTCCAACAAAAGTGATTAGAAAGACTTAAGAGACACGAGAAGAACAACATACAGGAAGAAAAACGTAAAACACTTTAATAAACATTCTCACTTTAGTTTCCCCTTCAAGCACTTGTCTTCTTCTGCTAAAGGATCCCTAAGAGAGCCAAACATCCAATCCATCCAAGTGGTATAATGACCATAGTTATAATTGTATGTGGTATGGTGTATGGTATGGTATCCTGCACCCATTATAGGCCAAATGTTACCATGGATGCAATCATGGATGCTCGCTGTCCATATCCCTTCCAAAAACAAAAGACTCAAATGTGTTTTCAGATGAATCGGCACTATGAACAAAGCTATCACGTGCGGTATAGCCTGAGCTATCCCATCCAACGGGTGAAGTGCGAGCCCTAATGAAAAAAAAAACCGAAAAACGGTAAGTTAAGTTATATAAACAAAGTTTAGAGACGGACCTAATTATAATTTGATAGAAAGTTACCACATATTCTTGAATTGGAAGTTAAGATACAAGAAACCGCCAAGGCAAGTAACTAGGATTAAGAAAGAGTTCATGAGAATTGGAATATTTACCAGCAAATGGAGAGAGTATGTTTTGCTTGTTGTAGATATGGTGGGTTGCATGGAGATGCTTATAGAGAAATTTAATGTCATGAAGCTCTTTGTGAACCCAATAAATCGCAAACTCAACCATAACAAGATAGAGTGCGATGTAGAGCAAACAGAGGAACCAGTTGATTTGGTCGAGTGAAGAGTAACATTTGGTCCAGCCACGCTCGATCATATACTCAGAGATAGCTGGAAGAAGAGTGTACCAAGGCATAGCCTTCATTGACACATATATTTGCAGAATCATAGCTTTTCTTGTAGGAATGGAATCTGAAGTAAAATGTATATTCATAAAAAAAATTCAAAACTAAGACAGATGAGAAAGGAAAAACACTCATAAGAAACAAGAAAAACTAAAATAGAAAGGGAAATGAATATATGATCCACAGTTATTCAGTTTCAAGGTATATATTTATATACTCTACGAGCTCACATTTCATCGAAAACTCAACTTCAACCTCAGAAAAGAAAATAAACCAATTTGAAAAGAAGAAAATGAGATCACCTATGGGGACGTAAACGTTGTGTTTAAGGTAATAAATGTAGAAGCACCAGAGAAAGCCGGAGATGAAGTAAAGTAGGTTTCCGGCGAGGTAATTCCGGAGCCACGTCTGGAGGAAATGTGGTAAAGGCTCCCACAGATTCGCCGGCAAAAGGTGACTCAGGACGATACGGTTGTAAAACGCTGTCTCGTCCACGAACTGAGTAAGATACCCATAATCCGTCGCCATGTATCCGCCTTGGAGAAGTCAAACTCTGCTAATGCGTGAGAGAGAGAGAGAGCAGAGAGAGAGAGAGTATGTGCGTAGAAATCGCCAATCGGGAGGGGCTTTGTGATGTGTGGTTAGGTTCCTTGCTATATAAGTATCTTCTTCCCAACATTAATCAGTATTTTCAGGACAACACCCTCAAGTTAAGCTCCAGATGTTATTTTATACTCCCTCCGTTTTATAATAAGTGTCGATTTAGATTTCATTTTTTGTTTCAAAAAGAGTATTATTCTACATTTTCAATGTAATTTTTTACTCTTATTTCCTGTTTTATCCCTCATTTAAAGATAATAGTTTTTGTAATTAAATGTTATAAAAACATATTAATTAGGGGTATATTTATATATTTTATTAATTTCTTAATCTGTGTGAAATGTGTCAGAATGACACTTATTATGAAACGGAGGGAGTATGTTTTTATTAGCATTTTATTGTTGTTTTTTTTGTATAAAGTTTATAAGTATGTTTCTGCAATTGTTATTGTTGTAATTTGATAATTCTATATACTTTCAAAATACATCTATAGCTCGTTTAGTTTTCGATTTAAAATATATTTAATGTTTTTTATATTTTGGTAGTTATATTCTTGTCTGCTAGTGTTCAGGAGCTGCGGAATAAATTAAAGTTTGTATTGGTATAATTGTTTTGTAGCCTTAACTTTATTCTTTGATCGTAATTTTCTTGTAAAGATTGTATGTTATATTTGATTGTTCAAATAAATAGTATCCATTCGTAAGTCTCAATCAATGTCTGTTAAACAAAGAAACATGTAAAAGAGTGCAACGAATGACTTTAATTCAGAAATCGATATAAAAGTAACAAGTATATCTCTAAACAGAAATCGCTAAATAATGAAAACAAAAAAAAGATGTTCTTATAATTTTTGTAAACCATTCGATTAAGCACTAAATTTTAGCATAAACTTTCTTGTAGACAGTATTCATTGTTTTCCTTTGTGGTACTCCTTTCTTGTCGGTAATAAGTATTTTCAAACATTTCCTACATGTTACTCTGAAATAGAGCTGACCGTGAAAGAATACATGTGTGAGTAAATACTGGCGCAGCACTAGAACCCAAAGGGTAGCTCGATCAAGTGATTCTTAATCGCTTGAGACCTACTTTCGCTCAATCAAGAGGTTTTGAAGCAAAAGCTCTTGAGACCGACTTCCTGATCGATGAAGTTAATCAAAATCGATGCAAAGGTTTAAGAGAAAATCCTCTTTGAATAATATTAATATCAAAAGTGTCGTACCAAAAACTCCAAGCGTGGCTTTATATAGAAGCCTAAATTATAATACAACTAGGAAAAGGAAATTTAACTTAATCCTAAAAGATTAGCAAAAAGGAAAATCAAATAATTAAGTAAAAAATAATTAAAAGATTGAAATTAAAATGTTGTTGTGTTGCCGCCATTCAAGTAGATGCTGCTGCATCAGGTCTCCGGGGTGAGAAGGATTCGCCCTCGAATCGTTAACATCATCTTGAGGAATGAACTTGGACAGGAACCGTACATTAAAAACATATGAGGTGTTGATATCAGGTGGCAATTCCAGGTGATACGCATTGTCATTGATGCGCTCAAGAACCTTGAGAGGACCAATCTTCTTTGCACGAAGTTTGTTGTAAGCTCCAGCAGGCATTCGATCTTTAGTCAAAACTGCCCATACAAGATCACCTTCTTCGAAAACCAGACGCCGACGATGTGCATCTGCTGCAGCCTTATAGTGCGAAGAAGAAGACGTCAAATTGGTGATAGTTTGCTCATATACACCTGCAATTTCCTCCACAAAAGCCGTAGCATCACCATGGATACGAGTTCGATCAGGTAAGGTGGAAAGATCAATAGGAGCTCGCAGAACAATTCCATAGTTCACCTGGAAAGGACTAAACCCAGAACTTCGATTAGTCGCATGGTTGTGTGCAAACTCAGCTTGGGGAAGACGAGCATCCCACGTCTTGATTGCATCGCCTACTAAGCATTGCAAGAGATTTCCCAAAGAACGGTTGACAACTTCGGTTTGTCCATCGGATTGGGGATGATATGCAGAACTCATATCAAGACTAGTATTGAGAAGCTTCCACAGAGAACGCCAGAAATGACTCAGAAATCGTGAATCTCTGTCAGAAACAATCGAGCAAGGCAACCCATGCAGGCGATAGATTTCCCGAAAGAACAAAGTAGCGACCTGTACAGCATCTGTAGTTTTCTTGCAAGGAATAAAATGAACCATTTTAGAAAAACGATCGACCACCACAAAAATGGAATCGAATCCACGCTGTGTACGGGGAAGGCCTAAGACAAAGTCCATACTGATATCAGTCCACGGCTGCGTAGGAATCGGTAAGGGCAAATATAACCCTGCATTCGTCGCATGACCTTTTGACTTTTGGCAAGTCACACAACGTTCCACAAAGCGTGAAACATCTCGACGCAAAGATGGCCAAAAGTAAGACGCAGAGACGAGTTGCAAAGTACGATCACGTCCCACATGACCTTCATTATGAAGTTCGCGAATGAGCTGAAGACGCAAGCTTCCTTCGGGAACACACAAGCGAGTACCTCGAAATAAGAATCCATCATGAAACGTAAAATCAGACGAAGTACCTGCTTGAGCAGCATGAAATACACGACCAAAGAAAGGATCATCGACGTAGAGATCAGCAAAAGCAGCAAATCCCGGCACAGACGTATGCAAGACGGATAGAACAAGCTGACGTCGACTTAAGGCATCGGCAACTTTATTCGAAGATCCAGATGTATGCTTGATAACAAAAGTGAATTGCTGGAGATAGGCGATCCATGAAGCATGACGTGAAGAAACCTTGTCTTGACTATTAAGGTGCTTCAATGCATCGTGATCCGTATACAAGACAAACTCTTTATGAAAGAGGTAATGACGCCAATGCTTGATAGCTTGTACCACAGCATAAAATTCAATATCATAAGTGCTGTACCGAGCACGAGCACCAGCCAACTTCTCACTAAAATAAGCAATGGGTTTGGACTTCTGACTCAATACGGCACCAATACCTGTCTTGGAAGCGTCACAATGCAACTCAAACACCAAAGAGAAGTCAGGAAGGGCGAGAATCGGAGCAGAACTTAACTTCGATTTGATCAAGGCAAACGCCTCAGAAGCCTCTGGCGTCCAAGTAAAAGAGCCATCACGCATACAATTAGTAATGGGAGCCATCAAGCTACTAAATTGTGGAACAAAGCGTCGGTAGAACGAAGCTAGCCCATGAAAACTCCGACTCTCAGAAATGGTCGTCGGAACAGGCCAAGTTTGAATTGCAGACACCTTAGAAGGATCCACAGCGAGACCCTTAGAAGACACAATGTAGCCGAGAAAGTGAACCTGAGGAGACCCAAATTCACACTTCTTCAAGGTGGCAAAGAGCTGATCGCGCCGCAATAAAAAAAGAACCTCGCGCAAGTGGCTAATATGATCCGACAATGAAGAGCTGAAAATCAAAATATCATCAAAGTAGACGACGAAAAATTTGCCAATGAAAGGACGAAGAGCTTGATTCATGACCCTCATAAACGTACTTGGAGCATTAGATAACCCAAAAGGCATAACCATCCATTCAAAAAGTCCCTCACGAGTCTTGAAAGCTGTTTTCCACTCGTCTCCTGGTCGTATACGGATTTGGTGATACCCACTCTTCAGATCAAGTTTAGAGAAAACTGTGGCTGTACCAATCTGGTCAAGTAAATCATCAAGACGGGGAATAGGGAAACGGTAACGAACGGTGATCTTATTGATAGCACGACTATCAACACACATCCTCCACGAACCATCTTTCTTGGGAATGAGTAACGCCGGAACTGCACAAGGACTGAGACTTTCGCGAAGAAATCCTTTAGTAACCAACTCTTCCACCTACTTACGCAATTCCTCATGTTTGGAAGGGCTCATTCGATAGTGTGGGCGATTCGGAAGAGAAGCATCGGGAACCAAGTCAATACGATGCTGAATATCATGAAGTGGTGGCAACCCAGGAGGGAGGTCGTCGGGAAAAACATCTGCAAACCCCTACAATAAGGGTTCAAACGCAGAAGGTACACTGTGAAGAGAAAGAGGGAAAACTGGAACCGTTAGCAAGACAAGCACCTGCCCTGTGGTGCACGTTGTAAGAATAGAACCGGACTAGGAGATACAGGAGGTGGAGATGGTGGAGATGGTTTCAACATAAAGGTACAGTTATTGAGATGCAAGGTATAAGTGTTGCGAAATCCATCATGAATAACTCGTCGATCAAACTCCCAAGGACGGCCCAACAGCAGATGACAAGCGTCCATTGGAACAACATCGCAGTAAATCTGATCCCTGTAGGCATCACTGATCAAAAACTGAACTAACGCACGCCGAGTGACTGAGATTTCGTTCCCCTGTTGAAGCCAGGCGAGCTTATAAGGAGATGGGTGAGGTTCAACTTCAAGTTGTAGCTTAGGAATGACAGATTCTGCGATCACGTTTTCACAGCTACCTGAATCAATGATGAAAGTGCATACTTTGCCGTTAATCGTACAACGCAAAGAGAAAAGTTGCTTGCGTTGCGGAAACTCATCAGGTGCACGAGGAGTTAGACACATGCGACGAACCATTAACATAGGACCGATGTCTGCTTCTAATTCTTCGGGTTCACCTTCATCGGAGTCGTCATAAACAACTTTTACGTCGCGACCTGTAGCATCTAACAACAAGCCACGTCGATTGCGAGTTGGGCATGCTGATTGTCGATGATCGGGCTCACCACAAGAGAAACAGCAAAGAGTGCCTGGTCGGTTATTGCGAACAGCATCGGTTGGAGGTAAGGTTGATTCTGTCTTAACCGAAAGAGGCACGACTGCTGTAGCTGGAGCATTTGGTGTGAACGGTGTACGAGACGTGCGAGAAGAGCTCCAGTTTGAAAAGTTGCTTCGCGTCTGGGCTTCGACGGTCAGCGCTTGTTGATGAGCTTCCGATACGGTGAGTGGATGAAACAGGTTAAGGGTGTGCTGAATATTTTGTTTCAGACCACCAATAAACCGAGCCACAAGTTGAGCTTCTGTATCTTGGATATCAATTCGAGTCAGGAGCAGAAAAA